ATTTAAATTTAATTTAATATTTAAAATAAAACTCAAACATACCCCAAACTCAATTCAATAAAAATTAAATTTTACCCAACCCAACCCATCCGGCCAACCCAGCAATCCAGCATCCTCCTTACAAGTTCCAATCCTAATTAATCCCCCTTCCAACCCTAATTTCATAACTTTATTCATTTCCCCTCCTTTTCTCCTGACTCACGCACGCAGCCACAACCCCTTACTCACTCTTGGTTTCAGCCGGACAATCAAGCTCTCAAGTCTCACCTCACCTTCAACCTTCCTCTCCCCTTCTTGCTGCTACAGATCTACTACAGGTTTGCTGTTGGAGCTGTTACAGATTTGCTCCTGGAGCTACTGTCAAAGCTGTTAGCTGCTGCCTGTGCCGAACTCCCTCTCTGCTTGCTGCCTGTGCCGGACCCTCTGCTTGCTACTTGTGCCGGACCCTCTGCTTGCTGCCTGTGCCGAACCCTCTGCTTGCTGCCCGTGCCGGACCCTCTGCTTGCTGCACTGTGCCGGACCCCCTCTGCTTGCTGCCTGTGCCGGACCCTCTGCTTGCTGCACTGTGCCGGACCCCTTCTACTTGCTGCCTGTGGTAATTTTCAAGTGGTAATTTTATGACACAAATATCCAGCTTCATTGTCATTTAGCAGTTACCCTAATTCTTAGGCTCTTTATTTCTCTGCATTTCTAGTATGCCCTAGTATCTCTTCTATGCCTTACATTGGAATTGTTCAGTTTCTGAAGATCAGCCTGTTCTGCCTATCCTTCGACCAACTTTGACTATTAGGGTGAAGCCGTTATACCAGAGGAAAAGTCATAATGGGGCTTTGCTTAATCAAAACGTGTTCTTGACCTCTTGTAGATGTACTTTAGTTAAGGTGGCCTTAATATTTTAATAATATATCTTTAGCATTTAAAGGTAACCATAATTTTATTGGATGTAGTTTTATATTTCTCTACAATACAGAATCATCTCTATGGAAGTATATAATAAAAATCTGTTCTTGGAATTATCATTGGCTAGGACCTGAAGGTGTCAATCTAGAGTGCATTTAAGACTTCTTCATCTCAATTGGAAAAGAAATCAGCTTCAGGATATATGAATTAGTTTTCTTATGTCGGAATTACATTGTTCTCTTTTTTGGATTTCCAGGATGCTATAAGATGTGCAGATGACTATTTCAGATTTCTATGCAAATGCATATTGGACAAATGTTCAACAACAGATGTGGACTTTTTAACAAAACGAACTTCCAAGACCATTATCAAACGTCTTCAATCTCTGACGAAAAATTCTAGTGAAAAAATCACCTATAAAGAAGTGGTGGATAGGTTAAGAAAGGTAAGTGACACATCCTTTGTATGTAATAGATTAGAAAACACACCCAATTTTACTTCTCTGGCAATTTCTCTCCTAAAAAATTTTTACCTGCCAACTAGGTCACAAATAAAGAATTTGAAACAGAACTTCAGTGGGGTGTTGCTTTAACTGCAGAACATCTAAGGTAGGTATACTAAGTATTAAGTTGGAGATTCCACATGAGAAAATCCTAAACAAGAGGAAGTGAGGGTTCTTGATCTTGTTGGTTCTTACTAACTATTTACTCAATGGCAGTTACTTGGCTGATGTGATCTGTAAGAAGCGTGTAATCATTTACAATTATCCAAAAGAATTGAAATCATTTTATGTACGCTTGAATGATGATCGATGTATAGTTGCAGCATTTGAAATGGTTCTACCCGAGGTAAGCCAAAGTCTTTCTAAAGATTGAATGGATCTTAAAATGAAATGTGCTAGAAAAAATTTAAGTGGATAATTTAGAATAGCAATAAAGCTAAATAGCATAACAATGCAGGTTGGGACACTAATTACAGGCAGCCAAAATGAAGAATGCGTCAATATGCTAAGTGCAAGGTAAATCATTCTTTGCTTTTCTTCTTTTATCATCCTTTGTAGTTGGTCTATTAGAACTAATTTGATTTTTTTTTAAAAAAAGAAGTACCTAGCCAATTGAGCAAATTTTAGGCTCCAACAACCCTCGTGACCATTGTGGAAATTATGCATGGAAATCCTCTGTATATTTTTTTATTTTTTTGCTCCATCACTTTGGTTGTATGAGTTATATCTTTTGTCCCCATCATGGTAACTGGTAAGTAATTTTGGTGGTTGATAGCAAGTTAAAATTACATGTGCTTTGTAAACCAGGCCTGGGGAATGGATATGACTGATCTTTAGCTCAATTGACTTCTCTGCTCTATAGAACCTATTAAGGTTTAATTATGCGTGTCAGATGACACAAAGGAATTT